TAGGATACATTCTGTATGGTTTACAGTGGATTGGAGTGTTTTCTGTCAATTGAATATCATGCGTTATTAAATGAGTATCGCGTTATCATGCGTTATGCGAGTAAATGCGTTATCTTGCGTTATTAAAACATTAGGCATTTTTATAAAAGTTTAATTTATCTTAATTATTTTTTTATACCTTATACGATTTTCTTCTCGAATAAAATGACAAAAATAATTAGGTTTATAAGTAACATATGTTTTTATAAAATAAAAAAGAAATATTCACATTTTTAAAGAATACTTCTGCACATTTTATTTTTTAAATTAATACCCATTCTTTTACAAACTATGATTTTATATTTTAATATTATTATATTAATATATATTAAAAGTACGTCCTGGGGGTCGTGAAATTATCTCGGTGATAAGAGAGGGTCGCGACTGTAAAAAGTTTAAGAAACTCTGTTCTAAAGTATGAATTAGTAAAAAGAGCAAGCAAGCTTTAGCATCTGAATTCCTTAACAGCTGCAGAGAATTGTTTGAGCTCTTTTGGAATTCAACTCACGAAGGAGTTTAGAGTCCCGCAGGAGGACATTCCATATGTTTATAAAAAAAAAAAAAAAAAAAAAAAGACTGCTTTCTGATTTTATATTACTGCCAAAGGAGCATTTTTCATTTTTTAGCGTTTTGCATGTTACCTACCTTTATTAATTATCATGTTCTTCGCACATAAACCATAAAATTTAATTTAACAGCAATATAACAAAATATTAAAAAAAAAACATATTTTTAGAATTTCCGATACACAATCGCGCTGGAGATAATTTTTTTTTCATACATTGTTGCCATTGCTCGCTTTGAAATCCGCGAGTTTTTTATTCACAAATTCGTTAAAGTTTTACAAAATATGAAATAGATAATAAAACAATTTTCAAATTCCAAATTTGGGCTTATTCGAGTAGAGGATTACGTTATTCGTAATTAATTGAATACGACCTCTCAGATAGCACAGCAGCTATATGATTGAAGGAATGGATATGTTAGATTGTCGTAGAACAGGTTAGAGGTTATATGAAGTGATGCTTTCGTGGAGGAGTTTTTGAGAGAAATATGCTGGCATTCATTTTACACACTGGGAAAACGCGGACATGCGCACATGCAACCAGACCGCTCGACTGAATTTCAGTCCTGGTCCAACCACTGTTGCACCCCCCAGCGGCAGAGCGGTAAAGTCGCTGAACACTGGTAGTTCGGCCCAAGGTTCGAAATACACGAACAGACTGGCTACATTTGGTCTTTTTCATAGGTTTACCCATATAAACCGTGTATACGAGCCAGTTTCTCTTAGAAGGTCTTCGACGAAGACGTCCCTCCTCTTGAGGCAGATGGCCTCAAGAGGAGGGACGAGGACCTCAAGAGGAGGCCCTGAGGGCAGTTAAAAAGAGCAGTTGAGGGCAGTTGAGTTTTAAACTTTTATTTGTCGTAACAAAAAGTTTAAAAAAATACAGTTTGGTGATACTATTCCGCTTGGTTGCTGATGGGCTTATCTTCCTAATGAAAGTAATGCCTTCTAGGAAGATTTTCGAAGAGAAATTGGCTCGGAGTTCGTTGGAAAACACTCCTTCTGCGAGGCTATCTGCCGGAGCTCGAGGCCGGATCAAACTGCCAATGTTCAGAATAGTATTTTCTCAATAAAAAGAAAAATTAAATTTGATACCTGGAAACTGTTGCTTTTTATTTATTTATTTATTTATTATTTCTTACAGTTATACAGTATATTTTCGGCAAAATGTACATACAATATTTTACTCTTAAGAAAAGGGACAAGATTTATGCCATCCGAAATGCATAGAATATTTTTTTTATAATCGACATCAATTTAAGTTCAAATTCTATCGAATTTTAAAATTGAAATAGGCGTACTTCTTGCGGTGTTATATAAGACGCAAATCCTTATTAAAGGTGATGTAGAGACATTGGGATTTTTTTTTGGAAGCAGACAAGATGAAAAATAGCAAACGCCTTCGCCGGGAATCGAACCACGGACCTCTGGAATACCGGCCCAGCGTGCAGAACCACTTCACCACGAGGGCACACCAAGAAGTGTGGGAAATACCTTATAAGGTAATTTCAAACAAATTGAATTCTAAATCCAATTAATGTTAATTAAATTCGCTCAATATTTTCTGAGCTACGATCGGAACAAAATAAACGAAATTAAGCTAGCCCTCTAGTGATTTGCCGTAATTAAGTAAACTAAATCAAACACTTTTTACGGTAATTTATGTAATACTGAGTAAACAAAAGCTTTATTCGGGGACAAGGATCATGTTTAAATAATTAATATTCCAACATTTGCTAAAATAATTTTGTTTCGTGTGAGATGTTAAGATATTTTGCAGTGTCGTTACACATAATTTATCTCTTATTAAGTGACAAGTTTTTACGCAATAAGAAACATAATGTTTGAATTATTTAGGCAGCATTATATTATTTATATTTCAAAGAAATCTCGTTTTGTATTGTAGAAGACATGTATCGACTGTATCTGTTCAATGTGAGCATTGAACAGATACAGTCGAATTGAATGGTCATAATAGTAAGTTTAGCTGTTAGCCCAGGTGGAAACAAAGAATACAAATTTAGTTCTACATTTGTGTCTGTCTTGGCTCGGATGTAAACGTAGAATACGAATGCAAAAGAAAATTTAGCTGTATATTTATTTATCTTCTCTCAGTTAATACTAATATAAAAAAAATTTAGTTGTATATTTGTCTCTATCTTGGCTCGGATGAAAACGCAGAATAAGAATATCTTACATATATATACATACAGTCGTTTAAAGGAAAATGCACAGTACGAATGTAAAAACAAATGAAATTTGGTCGAATATTTTTCTTCTTAGCTCAGATTAAAACATAGACTAGGGATACGTGGTTTTTATTAATTAGGTGATTAAAACTGCCTTATTAATATTGATACCTTTTAGACATCATAAAATGCTGAACATCTGACTGGATGATAGCTGCAAATGTTTTCAAAAGCTCGCTCAAAAATATATCTGTTAGTATAGAAGTATCGCTTTATTTTATTTATATGATTGTTATAACAGAATGTTAAATGAACTCTTTTTTTCTTAAATGAATTACTTGAATGAAAGGAAATTAAGAAGAAATACATATAACGGATTTTTTTAAAGCAAACATTTCACATATTTTATCAGTGCAGAGGGATAACAATAAATTCTTCCTTGATTTTCGTTACATATATGAACGCTTATTAGAAATATTTTAAGAGAGATATTGTGATTTAAAGAAACGTTTTGAGGTAACTGATAAAAAATTAAAATCTGAAAGCTTTCAGATTTTACATTACGCCCAAACAAGCGTTCTTTCCTATTTTTGTGTGTTACGTTTATTTGATAAATATCAATTTCTTCGCACTTAAACCACATAAAAACTCTATTCAACAGCAATATCACAAAATTTTTAAAAACAGCACATCTTTAGAATTTCCGATAGACAGACTCGCGCGCTGGAGAAAAAAATGTTATTTTGCGTACAGTGTTGCCATTGTTCACTTTGAAATCGTTCAGTTTCTTAATCAGAAGTTTTTTACTTTTACAAAATATAAAATAAATAATAAATCTAATTCGGAATTCTGGCGTCTAGCTACCCACGTTCGGGTGTAGGATTACATTATTCAAAAATTGGATGGCTCTAGGTACTGTAGATTTTTCACAATGCGAGAAACATACATACATTCATTATTTAGTTTCTTTAAATATAATGCAGGGCGATAATATTTGGTGGCAACAACTTGAAAACTGAACGGTAACAACGCAAAATGCCGTTTCGAAATTCATAGCCTGTCTGTTCGAATCCCACGAACGGGCTGGCTGCTTGGATGTTTTCGTGGTTATCCCCCTGCGTAACGTGTACACTCCACGAAGGCATCCTACTCCTTAGGCAGATAGCCCTCGAGGCTTTGCTGTAATTAAATAACCTTACCTAACCTAGCCTTTCTGGACTACCACCCCTTTAAGATAAAAAGAGAAATATGAAAAAATAAAGAATCTTGTAGAAATAAGTATATGATGATATTTTGATCGTATAAAAGAGCTGACAAGTATTTACACTTGTACTTGAAATGGTAGCTTAAGGTAGTTGAATAATTTATCTGAGCCCGTAACATTTTCTTTTCTATCTTTTATCCTACAGTGTTTTTCCTCATAAATTCGTATTGAAACTCTCATAACTCCTATTTCCAAAACCTGTATTGAAAATATTCTAACCTTTTTCTAAAATATATTATATACAAATGATAACATGGTATGCATTTTGCGCTTACGTCTTATGAGGTGCCCAACCGGTATGGTGGTTATCGTCGCTGACTAGGGTACGGATTCGAATCCCGGAGAAGACACGGATGTTTTTAAATGTATAGTGTCCGTGCGGCATGGGGACACTCTAAATATGCGGTGGTAAATCCTTACCACGAAGATTTTCTTGGGCTTTGGCTGATTATAGGTCAGACAAGTGCAGCAACTTGTTATGAGATGAAAACCAAAGAATGAATCGAATGTTGGTAACTCACACTAATCTAAAAGAATAGAACTCGACAGAATATGATTTCTAACCGTGTTATCTTGAATACATAACCAGATCTTAAGAATTTATAATCAAATATGTCACAATTTCCCTTGAAATGCTTTTTAAATGTATTCCTAGAAAATGTCTAAGTTTTTAAGAACGTACAATCATTTTTGATCAAATCTTTAACCTATAATCATGTGTGAAAGATCACACAAGCGCATCATATAGAACATGTCTTTCCCCTAAGATACCACTAAAGTATTTAACTGTTTTTTTTTTAATCTATTGCAATAATTACGAGGTTTACCATTGTTCGTTACCAGAATTGAACAATAAAATTGATATAATACATTCTCCAGGAAAAAAAATGAATTTTATCACGTAATGATCTTTATCTTAAAAAAACTCATGAACTGAAACTTATATTTTCTAAAAAAATGCATTTATTTTTGTACAGAAAGCATACACGGGACATTATACCTTAGTCAAGTCATATCATTTTTACAGCGGACTATGGTACAAAGTATTTTTACAGCATACATTTATCTTTTGAAACGTCATTCAAGACACTATATATTCAAACATTATGATCCCAATTAAAAAAACCGCGTCCTTCACCGCTGCGTTCGACGTAGGATACAAGCGCATAAAAAGAGAGGCCATTGTATATGTGCGTGACGAACACAACAATACTGGCTTCATTTAAATACAAGAAGGCACATCACAGAAGTTTTTTCATTTGTTGTCCGGATCTCGATTATCAATTCCATTTCGTAGTGTAGATGGAGATTTGCATGATTTGACAGTTCCGGGGAAAGGCTACTTGATGATTGCTGGCAAGAAGCTGAGGGGGGCCGCAGCACCAACCGAAAGACAATGACTGCGGTTGGTGAAGGAATGGTAAAAGCATGTTGCACATATGCAAACTCATTTCGGAGAATGTAGATATAACAAAGCTAAATCATTAGCAATGGAAAAAAGGGGAAAAAGTTTTTTTTTTAGTTCTTTAGGAAGAAATATCACTGTGAACGTGCCGAGTAGCTGCCACACATCAAGCCGACCCCACTGTTGTTAGTCGTCTCCTGAAGCAGAGTTAGAACTCCCAGATCATGCAGAACTCCAAAGGATTTCAGCTTGTTCCAGTTCCGTCTTCAAGGAGAATTCATGGTTCAACCTCTTTGGGGTCTGGCGGGGGGAGCTCCACCAGCCTGGTACCTGGCTGCAAGACTTTGGATAAGAGGAGCTGCCCTCTGGATGTCTTGTTCAGCGAGGAAGGGTACGTTGGGGTCTCCCAGTCGAAGATTATCGTTAAGGTAGAAGAAATTTGGAGCTTCAGGGCATGGCACTGAATCTTCAGGCATGGAGCAAGTGAAAGTCAATTGGTTGAATACCTAAAATTTAGAAATAAATTTTAGATTAAAGAAATATTTCAAGTCCTTCCTACAATCTTTTGCGTTTTTTTTTTTTTTTTTTTTTTTATAAAAGCTTACTGTTAGATCTGAAACAATACACTTTATCATTGTGACAATCTCATCCTTAAAAATTCAAATTCTTATTCTTAAAAAGGATAAGAATTTGAATTAAGAAATTGACTATTACATAAAGACAGTTATGTATTTGAAGGCTTTATAGCTTTACATTAATTTCTATCTTTATTTGAATACTGCTAGCAGTGTAGCAAAAGTAAAATTAGTTGCTTAAACATTACATTCTTTCCGCTCAAAAGTTAGTCTGATTATTGTTTAGGATATCACTTTAACAAGGCGAAAAAATATCAACATTTTTTAAACGCTTTTTAAGATTCCTCAGAATTCCTAATAAAGGCTAATATGCAACTCAGATAGAATTTCCTACTTATTCATTGCGTGGTTCTTCTAAATAGCGTTAAAAAATTTCAGTATTACTTTTACTGTTAGAAATTTGTGAAAGGATGCTTACTGTTTGATTTCCGCAGAGGAAGCTATACTGTTGAGTTTCAGCTGATCCATCTTCTTGGACTACAGTGTGGCAAACGTGGAAGATCTGGCAGTTATTTTCGATGTCAGCATAATAGCCTTCTGCAGTCTGGGGGCAGCTGAAAGATGTTCTGACGTTTCCAACTAACAAATCAGCTCCATCAGGCAGATCGAAGGCTTCTCGTTTCGACTGAAGAAGGAAATGACGGTTCAGAAAAAACACGTGAAACAACATTTCAATTTATTATAAATTTTAAAATAAGAGAATATTTAAGGCTGAATATTTCCAAAGTTTAAAAATTAAATAAATAATTTATAAGGTATTTTCTCCCGCCTTCCTGCAGGCCTTCGTGGTGTAACGGTAGCACACTTGGCGCGTATTCTTCCGGTTTGTAATTAAACTAATGCTAGAATTATAAATACAGGAGACAGCGTATTTAGCCATCGGATCACTAAAGGTTTCCGTTCTACATATTCTGCATTTGAATATATTTATTTATCTGTTACTGGAATGAATTTCTTGACTGCAAGGAAAAGTGCTTCTTACATTTATGAGTACTATATCACTTTTTGAAATTTTCACGGCTTTATCTCATCGTGAAATTTTCTCGTAAGGCTTCTGCAGAAAAATTTTCACTGTTTAAATGATTCTTTTATTTCTTTTTTGGCTCCTTATTTTGAAAATTTTAACCGTATCTGACAAATGTTTGTTTAACCCTCCAAGCGTTACGGGTTTAGCCCTGAAATTTCAAAGTTCTTCAAAATGTCATGAATAAGTGGTATTTTCTTGATTTTCATTAAAAAATGTGACTCTCTGATTTTGTACCTTGATTCCTTTTCTTCCAATATACGTCCAAACCGAAATCAGATACATTAAAAACTAGCAGAAATTTTCATGTATAATGAATATAGAAGGCAGCCTTCTATGCGGAATTTCCCGGCCGTAGAGCTGAGACGGTTAACCATAAAATGTTAAAAATGCATTTTTTTTTTAAATTTACGAACTTTAACGGAGATGTGCCGTTTGTGAACATCAATGAACGATACTCATTTAAAAGTGTGACAAAGAAAATAAAAATCTTAAGTCACTTAGATGCTAATATATGGAAATATCGTTTTCCTCGCGCGCGTTTTCGTAGTGTAAGTGGTTAACTAGTCTGACTGGCAGTTGAAAGATTTATGGTTCGAATCCCAACAAGAGTGCAATTGATTTTTCAGTTTTCATTTTTCCAGAAACCTGATAATTTCAAATTTTATAAGAAATGATAATTTTGCTTATTTTTACAATTTAGACTGCATTTCCTGTGCAAGCAAAGAGCTGTTATTGATAACATAGACACTTATGTATTGAATTAAGGTTAAATAGAACAAAGCCCGCCGTAAATATAGTAAAATGATTATTTTTTTAAAACCAAGATTGCTTTTTGTTCCGTTTTTGCCTTCTTAGGAGATTGCTTTCTGTGATTTAGAACTGGATTACATAAGGTATTTAAATGTTCATCACACTTCTTTTATGTAAATTCTTCAGTTTAAAATATGCGAAACTGTTGAAAAAAATTATAGAAACGAAATAGCTACAGATGATACATTTTAAATTAATGATAATACTTTACCTACCCTAGATTTGGCACTGACAGCAGCCACGCTTAAGAGAACTGAAATAAAAGAAAGGAATGTTTTAGTATCAGATCTTATAAAATAATGTGTGAAATTAGTGTTTTCATAGGACATGGGGTATATATTCACGACGTTAAATAATGCTCAAAGAAATTTAGTATACTATAGAGATTTTAAATTTGCTACTTAACACGAAACAGTAAATGGCAGATCCTGTAGAGATTTTATTGGCTTAATAATTGGCCAGGTGGTTATAATTCATAAAATCTTATACAACTCGTAGGAAAAGTTAAATTTTTTATAAAAAGGCACTCTTAATGAGGTTAATAAGTTTTAAAAATTCGAAATTTTACATAAAAAAAACCTATTGACAGCGAGAATATAACAAGCCAAATCCCCTTGCTTAGTATTATGCGCTGATTTTTATTTTTATAGCTTTCTTCAGAAGTAATTGTAATAATTAATAAAAATATTTAATTATTTGAAATTAAATTTCTTTTTTAAGTTACAGGCAATTTAAACATATGAATTCAAATTCTTTCTTGATCTCCAAAATAGCTGCTTTTTTTTCTTCAGTTGTTTTCTTGTGAAATTCTCAAATAAGTTGTAAGGGTGCAGCTATGTCTATAAGCTTCTGTTCATATCCTGAAGACCCTTTTTATTTACTTCTAAATGAACAGAAAGCGCTCTTTGTGCGACAGATAAACCTACAGAACTTTAACATAAAGATAAATTCTAATGTAGGTAATGTAGTCTGGGACTACACATATAATAGACTGTTTAAGCTGGCACAAGCTATTTAACGTCGGCTAAATAATAACTGGTAAAAACGCCCTCTAGCAAGAAGCTAAAGCCGGGACAACTTTGGCAGAGCTGGCGATAATATGTAAGTGCAAAACGAGCTGTCAAGAGCTATAACTCTATAATAAACCCTGGGTTTAAGTACATAATAATTAATATTCATTCTTGTGAGGACTACGGAAAGAAGAAGTTATAGTAAAGGTTCAACACTGAATAACCAGTTAACTAATATAAAATCGTACAATATCCTCGAAAACTTAGTTAATGGTACTTGAAATTTAAATATTATTCAAGTATAGGAAATTCTTTCAATATAGAAAACTCAATGAAATAACAAGTGAATGTACAGTTTCATATATAGATCCTATAGTATACATACATTTATAAAATAGTAATTGAGGTTTGCTTTTATTGATATAATAATATTAAAAAATTAAATTTATGATATTGAATAACTATTATAATAATAAAATACTGTAATTTAAAATAATAAACAGTAATTATTATTATTAACATTGTTCATTGTAATAAATAACTTCAATCTTAAATTTAATCTTGTTACATAAATTAAAAAGTGTCCGTCTGAAATATTATTTCCTTTCGAATATCTGAAGTATTATGACTTACCGCAGAGAATTACAGCTTTCATGATGAAGGAACTCTGTAGTGATCCTGGAAGCAAGGAAAAAAAAAAAAAAAAAAAAAAAAGACATTATAATACGTGCCATTTCGTAATTATTTTAATGTAAGAACAGCATTTTCTCCGGAAAATTGTTTTATGTGTAAATACAGATTATCAGATAGGTAGTATTTTATGGAATATAAATATATATATATGTATTATGCAAAATATATTTAAAATTTCTGTCATTTAATTTAAAAACTACGTCGCGATACTTTTCATATTAAATTTAATATCACAGGAAATGATTTCGCTAAGAAATTTCTCTTTCCAAAGAGAGTGAAAATGAAGTTTTCCATTTCTTACACACACATATCTATCTATCTATCTATCTATCTATAAATATATATATATATATATATATAAAAAGCAAAAGAAATTTTTGCGTAGAATTACAGGCTCGATATTTTCCTTTACAGGCTGGATATTTTCTAAACAAGAAACTCGAATACAAGGGAAACAAATTTAGATAAATCGTAGAAGTGCTGCAAATAAAATTATCGGTTCTTCTGAATGACTGGATATAAAACGTGCGGAATTAGTCTCAATATTAAAGTCTTCTTAAGTACGTCTTTCATTTAATTCCCAGTCAGCAATTTCCTTAATCTAATTATGGGATTTAAAATTAGCAATAGATAATCAGCAATTACAGGCTCATAAGCTTTTTTATTTATATTATATTTATCTATATAACATTGGAAATTACCAGATTACGGCAAGGATATAAATGTAAAGAGTACGACTGACAAATAAAATATTTAATTCCTTTCAAAAATTATTTTGACGCATAATGCTATCGGGCATGGAAATGCTGCATAATACTATGAATTAAAACAATAGCTTACAACTGTTGGAGTGAAATATCATCGACCTTTTCTGTTTTCAATTGTTAGACACTTGCCAAATGGGCATTCAACGTTAGATGGCTATATCCATTCGCAATATTAGTGTTTCATCACCAAGAGCGATGTGACCAGAAGGGGGTAGATTTATTCGAAGTGGAAAGGAAGAATTAACATAAACGATCGTAAGTAATTCAACAACTTATTTCCAGGCTTCTCACGACAATAGGCCAACCAGCGGCCGAGCGGCAAAGTCGCTGAACACTGGTAGTTCGGTCCAAGGTTCGAATAGGCTGGCTGCATGGGAGTTTTCGTGGTTTTCCCCATGTGTAACGTGTATACGAGCCAGAAAGTTAGAAAGTTCTCCACGAAGGCATCCGTCCCTTAAGGCAGGTAGCCCTCGAGTGCTTTGCCGTAATATAATAAAATCTATAAAAAACCTCACGACATTATATTGATCCAACAAGACAGCCGTGCGTTGCATAACTATTCTACAGGAAACATTTTTTTCGAAAACTCAAAATCTATCCTTAGTGGATTAGTATGTGTTAAGATTATAATAAAACCTCTCAGATTTACTATTTTTCTTTTGAAAAAGATTCACAATTGAGTAGCTTGTTTCAAAAGCTGTATTGAAGATCTCGTTAATAATATATGGAAGAAAGCCTTTATAACACAATATATGAACACAACTATTTGATATTGTAGCTCAATATATGAACCTAAAATAATAAGAGTTTAAAGCAATTTACAATTTGCTAGGCATAAAATAATAAAGAAATAAGGATTCAGTAAGTAATTTGGATGAAATATCAAGTACATTGGGTCTTAGCAAAACTTCCAGGTACTGACGTAGTGTGCTTACACATTTTTAAACATTAAATTAAATTTGAAAAAGGATAATCTGAAGTTTTATTAGCAAATTACTGAAATGAGGTAGAGGTAATCGTGTTCACTGACTGAAACGGACTGCAGAATAAACTAACAGGCCTAAATTATATACTGATAATTTTGAAAAGCAATAATGTACAGTTCCATTACTGTAAAAATTATTCAGTAACGCAGAGAGGTATAACTCACGGTTAATGATAAAGTTTTTTAATCTCATGATTGGAATGAGAAGACAACATAAAAAGTTCTACACAACATTTCAGCAAACGATAATCTTAAGACAATTTTTAGCAATAAAGGTCAAACGCTAGTTGAAGGAAAGTTTCTGTTTAACAATTCGATGTTTTTCTATGTCTAACATAAAATGAACGCATAGAGTTGCTTGTGGAGATACAGAGCCATGATAGACTTTTCGCAATGCAATAATAATAAAAATAGAGAGATACTTACGAAGATCAATTCTACAAACTGAATATCCTGTTGAGGATGGATAATCCTGAGAACTTCGAGTGAAGTGGGAGAGAGTGCTCGAGTGTGCTCCATCCTCTGAATACTACCCCTTTTATATACACAATCCATTCTATTTCCCACGTGCAAAACTGCCGGGCACGTGTTCCACAGCCAATGAGATGCCGAGAAAAGTATGCCAGTGAGAGTGAAAAGGGCTGGCCCCGATGCTCAGAGGATGCGTTTCGGAGTTGCATCGTCGATTTCCTTTCTTTTTTATTTCTGGTTTTAATCCACAATCGTTATTCGCCAAAAGTGTTCTTTTCCGCCAGCCTCCTTTTCGTTTTCTTGTTCTCTCTGCTCTTTCTTGTGCGGAAAGATGACCGTAAAGCACAATGAATATTAAGTTGATGGGAAAGAATGTTGCTGGCCAAATTGTAAGTTGCCAGAAATGTGTCGAATAGCCGTGATGCGGATTCCGTCATTTGATGGCTCGCACCGTTTCAGTCACAGTTAGGGTTTTGTTAATTTCCTTTGCCATTTGCACTGCTTTAGTATCTAGTTAGATGGAAGAAGAAAATATCGAAGGATAATCATTTTACAAATGTATAATAAAATTGTGTTTGTATGATAATTACTTTATAAATGTGAAACATATGTATTCTGATTTAGAAATATACATATCTGGATCTCACATGCCTTTTTAATAGTGAATTCATTTGAAATGCGCATTCTTCTATCTAATCTCTGGAAGGTTATTGCTTGTTTATTACCGAATAGAATACTTTTATTATCTGTTTATTACTGCATTTATTTATTGCTTATCTTTACATTTCTGCAATTTTACAGCGGGAAATTAATAAAAAGATCTTCTATTTTACATTGCTACTTCTCTGAAACGAATAAAAGAAATTCGAAATTTAAAATTTGGGCTTCCAGTTGTCCATATTAGGATGGAGGCCTATATTATTCAAAATTTGATGGCTCTATGTATGGTTGCTTTTTCACATTTCGAAAAACAAGCATATATTCATACAAATTCTTCATTATTTAATTTCTTTTAATATAATGCAGGGCTCTAATATTTGGTGGCAACAGTTTAAAAAGTAATACGCTGTTTATAGTGAACTGACTCAAAATGCCAAAAGGAAATAGCTCTTCTGGCCAAACTGTCCTTTGGGCTACTAACATAATCATGTACTGCTTCATGTTTTTATGCATACATGTGTTTCAGATATGATCGAATTGTTTAATGAATTTCTTCTGCAGATCTAATCGTAATTCTAAGGGGACCCTTCATATCTTTTGGAATTAAAGTTTTGCAGGAATTATTAAGCTTTCGCTACAAAAATAATGATCATATGAAAACTGAATTTTTTTGTAAAATAAGGTAAATAATTTATTCTTTATGGTCCAGTTTTAAAATTTACGCATAGATTTATTTACCACTTGATGAATATTCGTAATACAAACCCCAGATTAAATTTGGCCCACAACAGAGTGTAGGGATGTTCCTTGGATATGTATTTAATATTTGCATTTCTTTTCTACTGTCTTATTTATTTTCTCAGTATTTAATTCTATATTATCATTAATACGATAAATCTGTTACTGGCAACATGTTTTGTTTTACTATTCAATTTGTGTGAATAGTAACAATATTATTATTAGAAGTAAAAAGGGGTAATTTGCTCAGAAGGGTTATTAATTTCGTTTTGGCATTTTGCGCTGATTCACTATAAGCGTTGTTTCACTTTTCAAATTGTTGCCACCCAACATTAACGCCCTGTATTATATTTAAAGAAATTAAACAATGAAGACTGTGCATAAATGTGTGTATGCTTCTCCAATTATGATCAAACAACGGTACCTAAAGCCATCTGATTTTGAATAATCCTCCTGCGAATATGGGCATTTGGAAGCCTAAATTTGAAATTTAGAAATTGTTTTATTATCGATTTCGTATTTAGTAAGACATTAACGAATTTTTGTTTAACAAACTCAAGGATTTCAAAGTGAACCATGGCAACGTTGTACAGAAAAAACATTTTTATCTCCAGCGCGCGAAACTCTGTATCGGAAATTCTAAAGATATTAGTTTAAAACTATTTTGCGATATTGCTCTTGAACTGAATTTTATGATTTAAGTGCAAAGAACGTGATATTTAATAAATAAGGTAAGGACAAAAATGTTTAAAAAAAAAAAACCCGCTTTTTTGGACGTAATTTTAAATCTGAAACCCTTCAGATTTTCTTTTTTTATTAAATTATAAATTTTGGTTTATTATTTTATTTATTGTTGCTACAGATGCATTTTAAGAGTTTTGAATTGATTTTGTGTTGTCTGATTTTCTTTTGTTACCAATGATTTAGCTTTCGAAACCTTAGAAACAGTACCTACGAAAATAGAGAGATACGTACTTCGAGAGCACATACATGCATACATACGTGACTCTCACCGGTATATTAACCCCCCAAAAATATTAATTGGTATAGTATCTCGACGAGACCTTATAATTGATTTTACTTTACTCGTCATTGTACTTATTTCTCGAGAAGGTAAAAAGGACTTAAAGAATAAATCAAACTAATTCAAGTGTTAGAAAAATAATAAAATTTCACAGCCTGAATAAATTAGCATAATAGGCCGCTCTTGAATCTCCTCAGACGGCTTTGTTTTCATTTTTTCAAGAATAATAAATACTAAAAAAATATATAAATTTTGCATTGTTTCTAAGCAATGTTTCTTCTTTCGGAGTGTCCATTTGGAAGTTGAATCTTAAACCTTCCGTTTTAAAAATGTGAACCTCCTTAAAATGGGAATCGGGTATCCAAAATAAGATAATACCCAACCCAGATTAGTTCATGTTGCTAAGATTATTGCAAATGCCTTTCTGATTTACATGAACTGAAATAGAGAGGTCAGTTTAACCAAAATTGCGTAGGTCTTGCTTTCACTCATAACAGTTTCGAAGAAGTTGAAATCCCATTAAGTTTATAAGGTCCCATTTAAGTTCTTTTACCAGTTATTTGATGTTGGAACCGCTTTCTTATCTTCCTCATTTCCATTTCTCTGCCAGAATATGAATTTCTAGCTCGAGTGATACTTAAATAAATCAGAAAGAAGAGGGTATTTAAGGGAAGGTTTTAAAAATGTCCACTTTGAATCCTACTTTTGTGTCCTGCATAGATAATGGCTGTTTTGAGAGCTGCTATCTCGGCCTGAAAAGGTATTCCAGCATGCCTTCGCGGTGTAACGGTTAGCACACTCGGTGCGTATCGAAAGGTCCAGGTACGAGTCTCGGAGAGGGCATTGCACATTTGTCTAATCTCTCCTGCTTCAAAAAATGCTAATAACTCTACAGTTTCGCCCGAATGAAAAGGTAATGGATGATGATTCTTCACTACCAGAATTTAGTGATTGGGTCCCCTAATTCCTATTCGCCCTTTAAAAGGGGGAATGTGACTTCGGGGTATAATGGTTAGTACACTCGGTCCCGTATTCGAGAGGTCCAGTTTCGAGTTCGGGCGAGGGCATTGCACATTTTTCACCCTAACGACTCTACACGCTGAGTTGTCCTCATTCAGACGTCTTATCCACATGTGTGCTTTACTTCAACTTTCTGAATGGCACAGAAAGAGCATCCCGTACCTGCTTCCGTTTTGGAACTATCCATGTGTAAGCAGAGCGTGTCGAATTAATGAGCTGAGTACTGAAGTGTAATGGATCGTGTTAGATCTATTTCCGCTGGATGACCCGATATGTCTGTACTTTTAAAAATCAGAAGTAGCTTCTGTTCCATAGTGTACTGTCTTGATTAAGTCTCAGAATTCTTGCTACAATTGATTCATTTCCTGCCTGGGCATCCAGAGGTTCATTACTGCCTGGGTATCCAGAGATTCATTTACGGGCATCCTGGAAGCACTTGTAATGCAAGAGTCGGTGTGGTCTTGTATCCTTTGCATATTAGGAGCACTTGTCTTGCATTGTAATTAATTCTTTCCGGACATTTAAGGTTAAGCGTTGCCCTCTTGCCACACCATAGAGTATAGTTCGCTCATTGCCTTATACCAAGACTTCAGAATTCTGGGGGGAGTACTCCAATGAATTCCTGTGGTTCTCTGTATTGTATTATTTATGTGCTCTGATAGCACAATTGGGATAGCTGCCTTCTACACCTACAGTTACGTTACCATCGATTCAACGTCATCTGCTAACTCGTAGAGATCCCTTTATATCCAGGAATACGATTCGCAGAAGACTAGGTATCGCTCCGCTCAGATCTTGACGTCCATTAAGACTCTTGCCATTGGAACTCCACCATAAGCAGTGTGGTCTTACACTGCGATGCTCTCGTTCAAGCTGAATAATATCCGATTGGAGAAATGTGATCTTCAGCGACGAATCCAGCTTTTTTGTCAGTGCTAATGATCACCGCATACGTATCTAGAGACAGGGAGGTGAACGGTCCAATGTACCATTTGTTACCGAACGACACACAGTCAGAATACCAGGGTATGGGAGCTTGGGGAGCTATCAGCTGGAACAGTTCTTCACCATTAGTCGTGCTGTAAGGTACTTTGACTGTTCACAAGTACGTTGGCGACTTTTTGCAGCCGATCGTACTAACTATGCTAGCAGGCTGCCCATGTTCTGTTTACCTGCTGGACAACGCTCGGCCACATACAGAACTACTTTCCAACAACGTCTTCAACATGTTAATGTCCTCGACTGGCCTGCCAGGTCTTCAAGACCTATCACTCTCACAAAAGAACAAAATTCAGTGGACCATGAGTGGCCGTCTCAGAGAAGGCTCACTTTGTCGTAGATGCAATTGTCTTTGAATTTATCACACAGTCTCATCACGGGAAAATCTTCGGGTTATAAACTGTGTTTTTTAAAAAAGATTCAGTAACTGAAATGATTTGAAAATTATGATATGGCTAAACAACTTAGGTATTAATGGAAAAAGAGTGAGAATGTTAATACATGTGGCCAAGGTTTCCGTTTCAAGCTATTCAATTCTTGAATCGGGAGGGTAAAACAATATGCTAAAAACTGCTACCGCAACATTTCACCACCACAATCATTGAGTGTTACTTTTTGCAGTGTTAC